CCGCTCTTACATTATTGATAAAATTTAACTAAATGGTGTACATTCCAGTGCCTAGGGACTTCTTTCCCATTGGGGCGTTTGAGCTTGTAGGTCCCGGGTTTGATGATGGCTGCTATGATGTAGGGGCCTTCGAATTTTGGTGCCATTTTTCCTCCCTCGGTTGGTTGGCTGGCTTCCCTCCTCCGGAGGACATAGTCCCCCACTTGAAATTCTCGGGTGCGAACTTTGGCGTCGATGTAGCATTTAACTTCCCTTCGGTAGTTTTCCGCCCGGATGAAGGCCTGCTCCCGGCGTTCTGAAATGAGGTGGGGGTCGAGGGCCATGTTGCTGTCGTTGACCTCGGGGTCGTATTGGATCACCCTTCGGGTAGGAAGGGTGACTTCCGTAGGAGCTTTGGCTTCAAAACCGTAGCAGAGGGAGAAGGCTGTTTCACCTGTAGCGCGCCGAGGGGTAGTGCGGTAGGCCCAGAGGATGTTGTGTAGTTCTTCCACCCAGCCACCACCCTCGGCCTCCAGCTTCTTTTTGAGGCCCTCGAGCAAGGTCCGGTTGGCGTTCTCTACTTGCCCGTTGCCTTGAGGGTAGGCAACGGAGGAGAAGGTGTGTTTGATGCCCATGCCTCCAGAAGGGCACAGAAGGGGGCTGCCTCAAATTGTGTCCCATTGTCGGAGATGATCTGCTGGGGGACGCCAAACCTTGTGAGGATGTTCTTGAGGATGAAGTGACGGCACTTCGCCTCTGTGATGGTGGCGAGGGGTTCAGCCTCCACCCACTTGGTAAAATAGTCGACGGACACAATGATGTATCTATTGTTGGAGGTACCCCTCGGCAGAGGGCCCACAAGGTCTATCCCCCATCGAGAAAATGGGACAGAGGTGCTGATGGGGGCGTAGTTGACCGCTGGCCTGCCGGGGGCTTTCTGGAAATGTTGACACACGGTGCACCTCCGGGCAAGGTCAGCACAATCCCTGGCCATTGTTGGCCAGAAGTAACCCTGGAGAATGAGCCTTCGGGACATGGAGAAGGGTCCCTGGTGAGCTGAGCAAGTGCCACTGTGCACTTCCTCCATTGCGACCTCGGCTTCATCTGGATGAAGGCACCGAAGTAGCGTGCCATTGTAAGATCGTTTGCAGAGCCTCCCATCTTCGATGGTGTAGCTGGGAGCCCTCAGTTTTGCCAGTCTAGCGCGGGCCTCATCCTCGGGTAGCTGCCCTGTGGAGATGAAGGCGGTGATATCTGAGATCCAATCCTCCTGTCGTTGTTGTATGTTCATAACGGGGCTCGCATGGATGCTTGAGAGGCTGAGTTCCTCGATTTTGGCAATTTTGGAGATGTGCTCGGGGGAGTCAGCCGAGAGCTTAGACAATATGTCGGCCTCGGAGTTCTGAGCCCTCAGTATTTGAGTAAGAGAGTGTGCCTCAAATACCTTAAGCAACTCCTTGGCCGCTTCCTTGTACTGTTTCATTCTTCCCTCCTTGGCCTCATATTCTTCGTAGATTTGGCCAACGACCAACTTGGAGTCGCATTTGATGTGGATCTGCCGAGCCCTCATGTTGGCAGCCAGCCGAAGGCCACATAGGAGGGCCTCATATTCGGCCTCATTGTTGGAGACTTTGAAGGAGAAGCGGATTGCATAGTAGGCCCTGAAGCCCTCGGGAGTAATGAGGACTACCCCTCCCCCCATGCTTTGGTCGCGGAGGAGCCATCAGTGTAGAGGGTCCACCATTCGTCCGAGGTAGCCGAGGGCTCCCCGTCCGTGGCTGCCCTTGCGGTACATTCCGTCACAAAGTCCGCCAGGGCTTGGCCCTTGATGGCAGGCCTTGGACGGATGTCAATGTTGTATTGGCTCAAGAAGATAGCCCATTTCACCATGCGGGAGGAGCTGGTGGGGCTCCTCATGAGGGCGCCGAGGGGTTGATGGGTGAGGACCTGAACCGGGTGAGCCTGAAAGTAGTGGCCCAACTTCTTGACAGTCCAAACGATGGCTAACACCGTTTTTTCCACAGGGGAGTACCTGAGCTCGGCCTCCCTTAGGGTCTTGCTAACGTAGAAGATGGCATGCTGGATGTCGTCTTCCTCCCGGATAAGCACAGAGCTGATGGCCGCCGGGCTGACCCCAAGGTAGAGGTAGAGAGTCTCTCCTACCTTGGGTTTGGAGAGCACAGGGGGTGAAGATAGATACCGTTTGAGCTCGTCGAAAGCCCCCTGGCATTCCGGAGTCCATAGAAAGTCAGCCGTCTTCCTCATGATCTGGAAGAAGGGTAGAGACTTCTCCGCCGATTTAGATAGAAAACGGTTGAGGGCTGCCAGGCGGCCCGTCAACCGTTGAACTTCCTTTACATTGCGTGGGGGCTCCATATTGATGATGGCCTGGATCTTCTCGGGGTTGGCCTCAATACCCCTTCGGCTCACCATGTAGCCTAAGAATTTGCCCCCTTGGACGCCGAAGGTGCACTTCTTCGGGTTTAGCCGAAGGTTGAATTTTTGCATGATGGCGAAGATTTCCCGGAGGTCGTCAGCATGGCTGGAAGATTGCTTGCTCTTGACGATCATGTTGTCAGAGTACGGGGCCTCTCCCTGTTGTCATAATGGCGGTCCCGGGACTGAACTTCCTGGGAGGATGTATCTTGGGCCACCACCCCTTCGTCGTTCCTTACCCGAGGGGTGGGATTTCCGAAGGGGTGTGGCAGAGGGGGAAGTATGATATTTTCCCCGATCTGAGGGTGAGCTGGAGCCAGGGTGCCGAAGGCACCCGGGTTCTGGGTGAGCGTTTGGATGAAGGCGGAGAGCGCCGATTGTACGTCGATGGTGAGAACCGGAGGGCTGACTTGGTCATCGCTCCGGTTTTTCTTCTTGGCCTCGATGCCGAGGCGGGCATCGGGGGCGTTTTGTTGGATCTGAAGGCGTAGGTCGACAGCCGCCTGTTCCAGCCCAGCGAGGACACCGCCCTCGGGAGCCCTGTGAGAGGCTTCGGGGGCGTTGACGTCGCCGAGGGGCAGGTTCTTGTCTTCTACGTTCTTTGAGTTGGCACGCGTTGTCCTCACCATTTTGATAGAGGGCTAGTGTTTTGTGTTTGGTCGAGGGGGAGGGTTTCTTACTCGATTGTTCAACCTCTCAACGAGAGCACCAAATGATGGATAGTCTACCCGGGGGTATATATCCGAAGGATTATTACGGGAAATAACTTAGAGAGAAGTCAGAGCAAACAAGTAAGAGAGAGAGTGTATATCCGATATGTATTAAGCGTGGTTACAAATGGGGAAATGGGGTGCTATTTATAGTAGCAATAAATGCCGGGCAGGGACACGTGTCAAGCGCTCATTGGCCGAGGGGTCACCTCAATTGGTTGGCGCTGGCAGCCGCATGTGGTCGCATTTAATGCGGCTGTTGGACGGGACGTCTGTGCGGGGTACGGTGATCTGTACGCATGTGAGGCAGATATCTTGTCGAGTGAGATGCCTTCGGCTATAGAGCAGTAACTGAGGGCTCTCCCGCCCGATGGCACCCTGGTGCCGAGGGCTCACAGTGCCGAGGGCTGCTGTTTTCGCCGTTTTCTCCCAGTTTCCTAATTTGCTTGAGAAACCCGCTCTGTGACAATTTGGAGCCTTCGGCCAGGGGTCCGAAGGCACCCCTGTGCGTTGTGCGGACTGCTTGGTACTCTGGGCGCTGTGATTTGGGCCTGTTGGGCCTGTTGGGCCTTTGCTGGAGTAGTAGGAGTCTGTGGGCCGGGGGTTCCCGGGCCATATACTCCATCAATATATTTTCATAGTCATACAATAAAAAATTGGGAAATTACCCAAAATAGGAGTAAATGACATTTGGAATTCCAAAAATAGGACTAGTATGTTTTTCTTACCAAAATAGGAGTTATTACTGTCATGTATGAAAAATACCGTCATGATTGAAAAATACCGTCATTAATTATAATAAATATTGTCATGTTAAATGCACTGTACTGCAACTATTTGGCAGTCACAGCTACAAGATGACAGTAAATACTGTCATGTTAGTCCCATTTCGGGAATAAAAACAAAGTAGTCCTATTTTGAAATTTTAAACTTCATTTACTCCTATTTTGGGAAATCTCCCTAAAAAAATCGTAGTAATTTTTACCTGTATAAAAACTCTTATAATGTATATAAACTCTTAATTATATTTTTACAAAAAGAATTACGTTTAATGATTATATGAGCTATATCTATTATCAAAATATTATGAAATTATTAATAAAGATTGTTAAACATCATAGAAAATGAATACTACGTCCTAGGCACCTAGGCAGATTAGGCATTAGGCGTTTAGAACATTGGGTTCACTTAAATATATCCAATTATATATAAATTTACATGTATTTGAGTACGCCCTTATTCCTAATTTAAGGTTCATAACACTGTTCCTTTAATCAAATCATACCTTTTTGAATATTCAATTATGCATGCAAGTTTTTTACAATATTTAAATTTGGGTTTGGTGATTTAATAAAACAATTTGGGTTGGTGATTTAATAAAACTTAGCTTGAAGAATAATTTCTGAATACGTGAACATTATTTATTAACATTAACATACATTTATATGATTAAGGAAAAGTCAATTGTATAACAGGTCAACCATCTTAAAATCGAACTGAAAACCGTGAAAAGGGACCACAAGAATATTGAAAGTCATTTTACTCAAAGTAGTTTACCCGCACTATGTTTCAATTAACATAAACTAAGGTTGAATATGTTATACTAACTCCGTCCCATAAAACTTGACCAACTTTCCTTTTTTCGACGTGAAAAAAAACTTTGTCATTTCCATTTAAAGTAACAAATATGGCTAAAGTTATTTCTCTCTCCTCCGTACAAATATCAACTATACAATTTTTACTTTATTAATCTACGTGCAAGTTAACATTGACCAAGTTTTGTAGGACGGAGGGAGTACTGCTAAATGTCACATCCTCAAACATGCCAAGCATGCACTATAAATATGGATACATGTGACCACATTCTAACACACATTTGTATTCTCATAACTTAGATTCTCTAGCCTTGATCTTTCTTGAAACATCACTCTTTGTAGCTCTACCTTGTTCAATCTATATATCCTTCCATTCAACACTCTAGTATAGCCTGTTAGGCACATTATAGCCACTTACACAATTTTTAATCACACATATACCCAACATGCATATCCAGTCATCAAATTAAAATAAAAAAATTAAACCCCACACACAGATATATTTATATAAATATAGTTTAGATACCAGTCTATTCAATATCCTCACATCCACATCAATTAATATATATATATATATAAATATATATATAAACATATCAATATATACAAGACACCACCCCCACCCCCTACCCACCCCCAAGTTGAAGGAGCCTGCTGGTGACGTTGGATGTGGTATCTTCCCCGCAGCTTTCGATCCAACACTCTGAGAAAAGTTCTGGGCTTCCCTCATTCTCTCAGTCTCTAGCTATTCTATTTCCCTTGGAATCATCCTCTCTTCCTCTTCTGGATAACTTTTCACACTTATCCCAAAAAACCCTCTCTCTCTCTCCTCTCTCTCTCTACCCCACCCTAAAAAACCCAAAAAAAAGTTTCCGCAAAACTAAAACAACTTTAATATAATACAACGGGTTTCTCCTACGATTTCCCCCTGTTTAAGCCTGTTTTAGATTAGAGTTATACAACGTACGAACACAAGAATATACATTTGGTTAGGTTTTGTATTATTCTTCATTTCTTGAATCTTGATCCTTCTTCTATATATATGGAGTATTTGAGAGAGCTGGAAGGGAAGAGAGCTAACGATCATCGTTATGGGACGATGGTGAAGGAGAAGATGGCGTGCAAATGCGTGGAGGGGCCGATAATTGTGGGCGCCGGACCGTCGGGGCTGGCGGCGGCGGCCTGCCTGAAGGAAAGAGGCCTGCCGGCGGGAGCGGTTCTTGAAAGGGCTGAATGCATAGCCTCTCTGTGGCAGCTGAAGACGTACGACCGTCTCCGCCTCCACCTGCCGAAGCAGTTCTGCGAGCTGCCGCTGATGACGTTCCCGGCGGACTTTCCGACGTACCCGACGAAGCAGCAGTTCTTGGAGTACCTGCACGAGTACGCCGACCGGTTCGACATCCGTCCGGTCTTCAACAGGACGGTGCAGTCGGCGGAGTACGATCCGACTACGGGGTTTTGGAGGGTGAGGACGGAGGACACGACGAAGAGTGGAGCGGAGGCGGAGGCCGTGGAGTATGTATCGAGGTGGCTGATCGTGGCGACGGGGGAGAATGCGGAGGAGGTGGTGCCGGAGATGGAGGGAATGGAGGAGTTTTCCGGGGAGATAGTGCATACAAGTATGTATAAAGACGGAGAGGTTTATAGGGGAAAGAGGGTTTTGGTAGTGGGCTGTGGGAACTCAGGAATGGAGGTGTGTTTGGATCTCTGCAATCATAATGCAGCCCCTTCTCTTGTCGTCCGAGATACGGTAAGAACATGATAATAGCTAGAGATTTTGTGTTAGATAATCATGAAAGTGTTAATTAATCACTAGTAATTTATTTATTATTACACATTTAAAATAGTTTGGCTATTTTTAATATTAGGACTCATTTAGTTGCTTCATTGTTTTGTTAAGATAGAGTAATAACATAGGCATGGTCTTTTTATACGCATTGGTCTTTTCTTACTTTAATAAAAGCAATTTCTTATCTTAACATAATAATCATATTTTACCACACTTTTTATTAAAGAAATACTAATCCGTATTATGTATCAAGTCTTTCATAGTTGAATCAAATGAGGGCATTGAAAGCTTGTGTAATCACATCTAAGGAATATTTTGTGATCTTTTCAATAATGGGTCATAAGAATATTATTATAGCTACAAAAAGGTGAAACATATTTGATGAAATGGTGCAAAATAGGAGTAAAAGGTAGATATAATTAAAAACCAAGACTGATTATGTTTTATTTTTTAAATAGAATATATTTGATCTAATTAAAAGTATAAAATCATACGCAGTATAGTTTTTCTTAGAAAGAATTCTCTAAATAGGAGTAAAAAAGTTTTGAAATTACAAAATAGGACTATCATGTTTTTTATTCCTAGAATATGAGTAAATTTCTGCCAAGTTTATCATTATTAGGCTTTAAAACATGTCATTTTTTCCCAAACTTGGCAGATTACTCCTATTCAAGGAATAAAAAACATGATACTCCTATTTTGGAATTTCAAAACGTTTTTGCTTCTAATTAGAGCAATTTCTATTTTTCTTAAATTGGAATGGATGAATCACTTTTTATGAAACCAAGAACATTCTTATTTAAAAAATGTGTTGTGTTTTTTCCCATTTAAGGATTATCTATTTTTGCCAAACACATGTATTATGAGACATTGAGACTGATCGAACCTTAAAACATAACGTAGACCACGTTCCTTTTTAAGAAACTTCGATCTCCTCGTTAATCAATTTTTGTGGCTCCATAACAGCTTTTCCTAATTAAGGTTCAAGTTCTTCTAATTTTGATTTTAGTTTATAGAAAATGTATTCCGCTTCTCTAAACGGAAACCAATATTTGAAATAAAACCATGTTTTGTATTTTTGGGTCAAATATTGTGGCTCCTCCTCCTTCAAATGGTTTACTAAGCTATTTTTATATGGAGTATAATTTATGGGAACTTTTATAAGATAGAAATAATGACAAATATTTGACTTTAAGATATGAACAAAAATATGACTTAATGACTATCATAATAATTGTACCGATCATGATTTCGTTCAACTCTATACCAAACTAAGGAGTATTATTTTCGTTTTTTCGATAGTATATTACTTTCTCATGTATGATAAATAATACTCCCTCCGTCCCGCAATGAACTTCACAGTTTGACCTACATACATATTAAGGAAATAAACTTACCATTAAGTAAATTTTACTGTTTTGACACTATTTCGACACTGTTTAACACTGTTTCGACACTGTTCGACACTGTTTTGCACTGTTTGACACTGTTTTGATGTAGATTAACTTGTCATTTAAGGAAATGAGAACTTGTTTTTGGTACATCCAAAAAAGGAAAGTGGGAAGTTCATTGCGAGACGGAGGGAGTATTTATATAGTCATATAAATATGAATAGTTATATTTAAGGAAACAAATTATTTCTTAATAATGTTGGAAGTTTCTCTATTACAATGGACATGAAGAGGAGAACCGTACTTGTCCCATTAAGTTGTTTCTATTAGACGGAGTATTTTATTTGAAAATAATTTCTGAAATGAAGAAAAACTAAAGTCAGAATTCTTTTGTCGAATCTTCTGTGGGATTTTTTTGGGGGGTTGCCGAGAACAGTATATGTGTGGTGAGCTCAAGTTCCAATAGTGGTGGTTCGATCTTCTAAAATGTCAATATGTTAACAGTGATATAATCTTTTCAATCAGCATGCTAGGCCATCTTAATAATAATATAATGAATTATTAATAAGATTAAATAATTTGTTTTGATATCTTTATTGTTTTTTTTTTCGCTTTCTTGGAACTCCCAAGCATGCGCAAACAGCCCGGATTGGTCCTTTTAAATGTTGTTTTTTGTCATAAGCTACAGGGATCATCTTAGATGTAATTTGGATTTGTTATATATCTCATCAACCTATTTAATGATTGTTGGGAGAGTTTTGTGATTTGTATTTTGTGATTCAAATAAGAGGTAGTATTAATCTTTGTCACACTCTCAAAGATATTTAAAATTCTTGACTTTAAGATTCCATTTGGTAGGGCTTAGATTATTTAGATTCTGCTTGACATCTAATAACTCTGATTTTGTATTTTCCTTATTTTAATTTTAATTAGATTCTATTTAACGTATTACTTGTTTGCTAACCTATCAAATATATAGTGCTCAAAACATACAGTAAATTTCATTGCAAAAATACGACTATTTACATATTCCAAAACTAAATAAGACTATTTGCATATTCCAAAACTAAATTAATATCACTCACTACTCATTCTGAAGTTCCGGAAACCACTACCACTACCAATGGTCGTGGCTGTGGTTTGGCGGCGGTGACGGTGGCAGATTTAGGTCAAGAAAGTGACATTTTTGGTCTTTCTTATTTGTATCTTTTACTTTTCTTGTTTTCATTTGTTTGAGAAAATATCTCATATGGTCTCGTCAGATAAAAAAAGATGAGAATCTGGTCACATTTATATCCAATCCCTCTATTCTCATCTTGTTTTTTTTTTCAAATAAAACCAACCACAGCCCTCTTATTTCATCTTAAAATGTATATACCTAGTCTTTGAGTTAGTTAAGTTTTGAGCATAATGATGTTTTTTTTGGACTATTTTCAGATTCAGATCAGACCCAGATCACCCGATTTAAACAGACCAGACTAGACTTAAACAGATCAAATCAGACTTGGACATTTATAAAATACACAGAAACCAGACTTAAACATACCATAGCAGACTTAAATAAACTAGACTAGACTAGAACAACAAATTTAATAAAAAAGAAAACATCCTAAAAGGGGACCTCATAATAGAAGAAGTTTTTTACCATATGTTATATATCTTATTTAAAAATAATGCTATTGTAAACATAGAATAACATTTCTATTGCATATGAAGATTATATAGTAGATGGATTATTTTATGTGTAGATTGGGATAAAAAATATTTTGTTGATTTGTATAAGAACTAGTGAGGATCTCACTGTAAAGGGCCTATGCACCTTTTCTATATAATTAAAAAAAGAAAAAAAAAGTTATGGCCCTGGTGAAAAAGGGTCAGCCAAAACCATCACCTCCAGAATGGCAGGTTTATGTCCATTGTGTTTGTGTGCTCCCACCGAATTTCCCTTCTTAACCCCTTTCCCCTTATACTATTTAATTGTCAAGACTCCAATTTTGGAATTTTTCCTCTTATTTTTTCCCCATTTCGGGTGAAAATTTTCTTTTTTTAATTCGATTTTTTTACTTTTGTTTTTTTGGAATTAGGTTCACGTCCTACCACGAGAGATGCTGGGGAGATCGACTTTCGGCCTGTCCATGTGGTTACTCAAGTGGCTTCCCGTGCGAATTGTCGACCGGTTCTTGTTGGCCGTTTCCTGGCTGACACTTGGCGACACCTCCCAGTTCGGGCTGGACCGGCCCGAGATCGGCCCGCTGGAGCTCAAGAATCTGTCTGGGAAGACTCCGGTCCTCGACGTTGGTACACTCGCCAAGATTAAAAGTGGGCACATCAAGGTACCTCACCTACCTACCCACATCAATCTCCGATTTTCAAAAACATCTCATCAATTCATGGCCCCTCGGATCTCATTTCTTGTTGTTGGGTTTTTCCCCATAGATAGGAGCAAAACAAGGGATATACATACAAAAATGTGTATTCACTTTCGATACAAATCTTTGAATCTTGAATGAAAATCTTGTGGGTAGGACGACGTTTTCATTTAGATCAAAGTTTCAGACTTAAACAGATCACACTAGATCAGATGAAACGCACGATGAGTCACACCATCATCACAGATCAAAACATATATGTAGTACAAACAAATCGATAAGGCCAAATTAGATTTAAACATATTAGATTAGGTCAGATAGAAATTAAAGTTTCGGTCCAAATGAAAACATCTCAATTACATACGAAGCACTATCCATGTTTCCAAAAAAAGGGTAAATGCATAAAAGATACTCTTAAATGAAATAAATCAGTACCATAGCTATTCGTAAATGTTTCAAATAGGAATATATTCAAATTTCTGCCAAAAATATCCTATGTGATTGTCGAAATTCCATGCTTACGGTCCACCGTATATTAGTGGCATAGATAAAAATAATGTATAATACACTGTACAAATAGAATTTCGGCTACCACGTATGAATTTTTGATCAGGAATTTCCGCTACCACGTTTCATTTCAAGGTTAAGGCAGTAAAGTACTCCCTTTGTCCTGAAAAGGTTGACCAAAGTTGACTTTCAAATGAATTAATAAAGTAAAAACTGTGTGGTTGAAATTTGTGTAGAGGAGAGAATTAATTTTAGCCACATATTCCTTACTTTAAATGGAACAATCTTTTTGGGACATCCAAAAAATGAAATTTGGTCAACCTTTTCGGGATGGAGGGAGTATAACAATACCAAGAATTTCGGCTATCACGTTCATTTCAAGGATAAGGTACTTAGGGGGTGTTTGGATTTGATTCTTGAAACGGCTTCTGCTCTTTCAGAGCAGAAGCAGAAGTTGGAGTGTTTGGGTGAAAGTGCAGAAATGATTCTGGTGATCTAATTTACTCCTGGAATCAGTTTTTTTAGAAGCTAGGGTGACCATCATTTGAAAACTGATTCTGATTCTGCTTTTGTTTTAAAAAGAAGCAGAAACAGAATCAGTTCCAAACATTCCCTAAAGGACTCATTTCAATTTCTGAGGTGGTGTTTATCCATTTGGCCCTACGGCCCCTACCATACCGATTTGCTAGTTTTGGTCCTGATTTTCACTGTTTCAATATCTAATTTTTATACTATTTCTTACTTTAATGTAAATCTGGTATATAAAATTGTAAATTTTCATATCTAATTGCAATATTGCATGGAGAATTTAACTTTTGTATTGGTCAGCTAATCAGCTTTGGAAACATAGAGATTATTCTATTTTTCCTGAAAAAGAAATGAAGGCTACACTTAGAGCTGAACTTTAACTTTTAGAAAATGCAGTGAAATGGTACTTTGACTTGAGGTGATGTGTGTGTTTGTGGACGGATGTAGAAATATGTGCTTAAAGAATAAGTACACTTGTTTTAAGATAATAGTGGACTGAACCAATTTGAAAACGTATAGATTATATTAACAAGGGAATATGATACAGATATACTCCCTCTGTTTCATATAAATTGTTTTAGAAGTTTTGTTAATTTTACTTTTAATTATTTAATTTGAGTTCTAATTATTTCTCTTATATTTATACAAACTTTAATCATACAATTTTTACTTTATTATTTCTCGTGTCGGTCAAATTATACTCCAGGATTATGGGATCGTAAGCCCCGACACCTGAATTATAAAAAAAATAGAAATTATATTTTCCCACGCTTTAACCTATTTTAACCCTAGTGTTTCGGAATGTTACTTGTACAGTAATAATTATTGCAATCTTTGAATATACTCCACTTAGAGTACGTACTTGAATGAATGCCTTATCATTCTCCCTTTTTTAAGGAGCCACTGAATCTCCTTTCTTATCACCTTTGTTACGGCGGCCATTCTCAATCTTTTGCTTCCATGCATCACATGATCATATCTCTTGGTCACCCTCAATCATTACAATAAAATATTGCATTGCCAGCAGCACTTATCAGTGTATCAGTGTACTTTTCACTACATTGGCCATAACAAATCAATTTTTCCATCACCCACTTCTCTTTCATACTACTTCTTCTTGGCCATAATATCTATGGTGCTTTCTAAATTTTAATGGATTTTGGTGTATACTTGTGGTTTTGATCAATTAAGTAAGTGTAATCTTGTACTCCCTCAGTTCTCAATAATTCTGCCAAGTTTGACCGGCACGAAAAATAATAAAATAAAAATTGTGTGATTGAGATTTGTGCATAGGAGAGAGAATGAACTAAAACCACAAATTCTTTACTTTAAAGAGAAAATGACAAAGTTAATGGGACATCCAAAGAAAGAAAGTTGATAAACTTATAAGGGATGGAGGGAGTATTTTTTTCTTAATGCCCTGACATGCTTCTATTGTGCTAGATTAGGGAGTGTTTGGAATTGATTCTGCTTCTGATTTAAAAAGAAGAAGAATCAGAATCAGTTTTCATAAGCTGGTCTCTCAGTTTCTAAGAACATGTTTCTTGGTGCAATTTAGAGCACGCAGATGTGTTTGTGCACTTTTACAGTTTTACACAAACACTCCTATATCTGCTTCTGCTCGTTGAAGGAGCGGAAACAATTTTAAGAAGTAGATCCAAACACCCCTAGGTGTTCATTTGAAATTTATGTTTTTGATGTCAGGAAACCATATATGATTACACTATAGAACCATATAAAAATGTATAAGGCCTCTTCAATTACTTAGTCTGGAGTCTTAGTTGCTATCTGTTAGTCTGTGATCAACGTTGTATTTACATCGTTTCATTTAACTGTTCGATCGGTGCTAGGGCCACGTTGTATTTACATCGTCTCATTTAACTGTTCGATCGTGGTGCTAGGGCCCTCAAATTTTTTTTTGTCATACTTTTTTTTTTCTATGAAGCCAAATAGATTATGTGTTGCGTCGGATCACTATGACCACTCATAATAGGGTCCTTTATTCACATTAGAGCCAAATATGGTTCCTTAAAAGTTAAAAACCTCTTTTTTAAAGGTGTGGTCTCTTTTGTAGGCAGATTCAAATTTATTTGACATTGTTCACATTATTTTAGTGTTTTAATTACTAACATTTTCACCATTTCTAAAATAGTGCAAGCTCTCCAAAACTTTATAATCTACCTTGCTAGGATTTCCTTAAAAGCATCATTGCTCTAGGATATACTCCTAGATGTAATGTTTAATTTGAGTGCATATCACCTCCCTATAATCCTATGCCCTACTTCCGCACCAAGTCATACCGAATTTGTTTGGAAGTACTCCGTATAAACGTAAGGGATGTGAAATAATTATGTTTCACCTTGATTTAATTTGTTATTAACGGAACTGTAAAAATTTAATCATAAAATCTTACATTGAGAATGCACTAGTATTACCTTATTCCAAATTAAGGTAATTTTTTTTACCTTTAATCTTTCATTGAGAATACGTTAATATTACCTTACCTTATTCCATTGAAGGTGAAAAATTATATAAAGAATTGAAATCTTAAAGTCTTACATTGAAACACGTAAGTCCATCCCAAATTTAAAAAAATGTCTAAAATAATTCGTGTAAAATTTGAACACAATTAGAATCATAAAAAATGTGGATAGTGGTTATAAGTATACTCTTACAGTCACCTAAATCTAAAATTTGAACACAATTAGAATCATTAAAAATTACTAAATCAATTTTTTTCTACTGTTCAATTGTGGTCACATAATAATACGGACGAGTACGTAGTTAACTTTTATACGGAGTATATGTCAATAAATGAGTTCGACTATTAATCGATTTATTTGTAGAGCCCGTTTGGTAACACTAAAAATTGGCTGAATTGGCTGATTCTGCTGAAATTTATGAAGTTCTGGCTGAAGTGGCTGTATTGGCTGATTCTGCTGATTCATGAAAAAATTATATTTAAAATATTTGTTATTAATAAATAAAATAAAAAATTATATGAAAAATAGCTAAAATTATCCTCTACAGTAACTTCAGCCAATACAGCCAGAAAAGTAACTACATCCTTACTTTTTCTGCTTATTACACAATTCAGTGCGCGAAATCAAAAGTTACGTGTTTGGTGAAAAAGCTGGCTGATAAGCCTGATAAGCCGAAAAAAAGGGTCACCAAACGGGCTCGTAATGGCTTAACTTTCATATTACGTCACGAAATGATTTGGAATTATTTGTCCTACCTCTGTACTACCTCCATTCCCATATTATTGTCTCATTGCGGTTTACGATATTTGATCGACAAAACAAATACTACGTAGATCCCTTTATGCACGAGATTTATTTTTAAAAAAAATTGCATATTCAGAAACTACATTAAAACTTTTACAAAGTCGCAAAAACCAGAATAAAATTTGATAAAAATTTGATAAATAAAGTAAGAGATTAAGAGTGATTTGTGTTGACCAAGTGAATAGGAAATAAGATATATGAAATTAATAATTTGATATATAAAGTAAGAGATTAAGAGCGAGTAATTAATAAAAAACAAAATATACTACGTATGACCAAAGTAATGAATGAAGTGAGTGCTTCACTGCTTCTATAGGGGTTGATTGATGCTTGATTGATCAGAATCGTTCTATCCAAGGGTTGTAGTCTCGGCAAACCAATTGTTGTTTATTACACAATTGTTGCGTATTAAAGTACCCATTTTGTACCGATATATTTATGGGCAAAAAAGCATTTTATTAAAATGAAACAGTTATTTTAATTGGGTTGAATTTATATAAGTCACAAACATAAGATGTGATACAAAATGGGGTATAAAATATGGTGGCTCTAATATTCCTCTGCATATCATATTATCTTGAATTTAACTGAAGATTTTTGTGTTTTTTTTCCTCTAGCATTCCTACATGGGGCCATGCCCTACTTACACAACTTGGATTTAACTAAAGATTTTTGTGTTTTTTTCCTTAACTTGAGTATTGATGTGATCAACTTCTGTACAGAATAAAGTGACTGATAACACCTCCATTTATTGTTACTTTTAAACAAAGTCATTAACTAAACCGCTTACTAATTAATGCAGGTCTGCCCCGGCATTCAACGACTAAGGCATCATAAAGTGGAATTCGTAAATGGAAAAGAAGAACATTTTGATGCTATAATCCTAGCTACTGGTTACAAAAGCAATGTGCCCTATTGGCTAAAGGTACATTTGTACATACATTATGGTCCTTTTCAGTTATATGTTTACAAGATTTGAGTCTAATATGAGGGTGGTTGGATTAAAACTACTTCTCACATTTGAAAGTTTAGAAGTACTTCTATAAGCAGAGAAAATTCTGAAAAATTAATTATGATTCTATATCTGTTTTATAAAAAACAGAAGCAAGATCAATTCCAAACAACCTATAGTTAAATCATAATTCTAGAGGGTCGTTTCGGGGTGAGTTACCCCCAACTTGATGTACTTTGCAGATATAAATTCAAACTTTTGTTATTGCAATTGTAATTTCTTACCTAACGTAATTCAAAAGCCTATTATTTGTTGTAGCAATACCCCGTTTTGCTGAAGGACTAAATTAAGCATGATCACTGTGAACTGAAAGGCCAATGTTTTAGGCTTTTGAGAGCACATTAAGCTAAAGGCAAATGTTTTTGTCAAATTTTGAAACTCATACAGTATATATTCCGTAATTGTGACAATTTGTTTCCCTAAATGGAGCCTACCTTTGTTTAAGCATACTTTTAGTCGCCACAAATATTACACATATTGTCCAAGACATGCGCTTTTTGTAATCTCTACAATATACTCGATCCCTAATTGTTCTTCCAAATTAAATTGGCACGGTGATTAAGAAAGTTAGAATTGTGTGGTGGAGAGTTGTGCAGAGGAGAGAGAAATGCTGTGAACCACAAATTCTTTGTCAAAAAGGGAAAGTGAAGTTCTTTTTGGGACGGACTAAAAGAGAAAGTTGGAAGTAAATTTAGGGACGGAGAGAGTACTTCGTATAAGTGTATTTTAGTTCTTCTAAATCTGAGACAATATTTGTTTTGAAAATAAGATTAATACCGCTTTCAAACTCCTTTCTTTCTTTTCCACATAAATGATTTATAAAATTTTAATGACTTAATTAAGTTTTTGAAAACTATTTGCAATGTTTTGATTCAAATTTTAAAAATAAGCCTCAACGACTCTCCAAAGAACTCATTTTTCCCATGATAAACTTTGTGTATTTTTGAAGGTGAATTGATGTAAAAACAGAAAAATGGTGATGGTCATTTCAATTTTGTTGTCAACCACAAGCTAATTGAAAAACGATGGACTAAAAGGAAAAAGTGTCAACCACTAGGATGAAAAACAAAAAAGAATTGGAATTCAAGTACTTAAAACAAAGACATTAAATTTGCAAGATCTAAAAGCATATTTTGTCACTCATGAAAAAAACCGACTTAAAATGGTAAACCTTATAAATTTGGTAGCGTACATTATTTCATATTTCTTCACTCCTAATAAGTTCTTTCTTTTGTCCTTAGGAAGGAGAGATGTTCTCACAAACCGATGGATTCCCAAAAAGGCCATTTCCAAATGGTTGGAAGGGAGAATGCGGTCTATATGCCGTGGGGTTCAATAAACGTGGATTGCTAGGTGCATCAATGGATGCCAAGAATATTGCCCAAGATATTGAAAGGTCTTATACTTGTATGTCTCATGCTAAAAATCTGAAAGCCATTGCCCCTTCACCTAGGATGACGAAAGTGGTACCATAAAATAGCCTTCTCATATCCAGAGAGGATAAATATATATATATATATATATATATATATATATATATATATATATATATATATATATATATATATATATAGGTGCCCTATATTTGATCAAGCAACATGAAATATAGAGTTTGGCTGAGTTTGAGCTGCTAAGGTCTTCATCATTGGTGAAGTTTTGGGAGTATGAATATGAAGTAAAGCGAAAACATGGGCACTAAAGTTACATTCCCTATACATCTTGTAAATTTTCCTTTTCTTTCTTTTCATTTTGATAGGGTAGACTTTTCTTAGGACAATTTATAATTTTCATGTCAAATGTAGGCCTTTTGTCTCTATTTATAATTAAGAGGGCTTTGAGTTATTTGTAGGTAATATAGCAATCACATGATCCTATTGAACTTTGTTCAAATAATCCATCACAAAAGCTTAATTAAGAGATATTCTTAAATGAAAGAAACAATTATTATACCATGAAACAGAGGAAATGGATCAAAGCCATTGAAATCAGGAAAGGTCTAACTTGGTCCTCACATCAATGGGATGTAACTTCCACTTTTAACATGTTCATCATCTCTGGAACTGTGCTCACCATTTTTGGGGCCCCATTTGTTTCCAATAATAGTATTATTATATAGAAAATTGCTTAAATTATAAATGGAGTAATAACAACAACAATAATAATAATAATGAGTGGTACGAAGTATGGGAAAAACTATTAACTACGGCCTACGGGATTACGGTAATATGGAGTTATTCTCTTTCTCCAAAAAAAAGAACTCTTCGGAAATCTGAAAATTAACTATTAACTATTAACTACGGCCTACGGGATTACTCTACGGAGTTAATCGAGTAATCGGCAAATTCGATTAAGGCGATTAGGCTTCTCTAATTCTCGGCAAGGTGGCAATTTGAAATTGGATGAGGCTGGGTCGCCTGTGTCCTGCACCCTGCGGCCTACGGTTGCCCTATGATGCTGCTCGCAGTTCATTCTTCACGCAATCACAGCCTTCACTTGTTAGGTTTTCACTTTTAAACTTTAATTTTTTCAACTTAGTTGTTAATTGTTAATTTGATATTTCACTTATTTGTTAATTTTAGAAATCGGAAATCTGAATTTAAATATCAGCTTTATTCAAGCTGTTAGGTATTGGCCCAGTTCGTTTTTGTAAGCCCAGTTCATTTGAGATTAACCTTGGCCCATGTCTTTCCGTTAAATGGAAGCATGCCATATTGATTGACAGTCATATTAACCGGAAAGCAAGCACAACACGCAAGAGAGATTAAATAGGCTAAGCTCAAAACTCAAACATGGTAACTTACCATACAGAAGAAGAAAATCGAAGGCTCTGGCGAAGCGGAAGAGAACGACGCACAAGGAAAGCGCTGGGAAGAAAGAATAAAGACATGGGCCAAGGTTAATCTCAAATGAACTGGGCTTACAAAAAAGAACTGGGCCAATACCTAACACAAGCGATAACATAATAATCATATGTAGTCATTCTAAATCATGTATTTATTCTATATGAATACTTGGACGCCATTAATTTTATTGAACTTTGTGAGTTTGTTTTTATTTGTAATTTTATTTTAATTCATATGTGGGGCTTCATTTTGGTATTTAGGACGGGGCCTCTAAATTTGTTAGACGGCTCTGCATATTCTTCATCTTATGCTTCAACAACCATTACCTAGTACTATATATACTGCAACCTGGGATTAATGTGCATGGAAGATATTCAAAGTGACTCCAAACAATGATCACAATAGAAAATGTGGTCAATACTATCTTCATTAGGCTCACTTCATCACTAATAATGACACACAAAAGGATAAAAACCTGCTCAAAAGACTAAGGGGGCGTTTGGATTTGATTCTTAAATCTGCTTCTGCTTCTTCAGGGAGCAGAAACAGAAGGTGGAGTGTTTGGGTAAAAGTGCAGAAGTGATTCTGGTGCTCTAATTTACTCCTAGAATCAGTTTTTTAGAAGCTGGGGGTGACCAACTTCTGAAAACTGATTCTGATTCTGCTTCTGCTTTAAAAAAGAAGCAGAATCAGAATCAGTTCCAAACACCCCCTAAAAGGCCGATACCGGATTTTTTATAGCTAAAATGTGTGATTAATTGTCATTTGATCAAGGCATATATCAGAACATTTACTTCTCCCCTAGTACTAGATGAACTACAAATTGCATAAGCATTGAACTCATTTGACATTACGCAACTAGGAATTGCTATCGAGGAGGATATGCTTGCATTGGGCAGCATAAAATGTTGTTCCTAACATTGATCATATTGTTTGTTATCAACCTCAAACCGTTACTAGTATAGTCAATATAGCCGATACAGCCGGCCTAGGCCCGGCCGGGCCTCCGGTTTGTGAATAGTGGGCCCGGGACCGGTCCGAAGTACTGGCGGTTCCGGTTCAAGCCGGGCCACCCGCCCGGGTCACAGGTCGGGCCTAGGCAAATCCATTTTTTTTACTTATTTGTACTTTATAGTTTTATACTTTTATACAAGTATTAAAAACAAACTCCAAATGCATTTATTTGAAATGAAATAGGAACTACATTTCACAATTGAAAAAAAAATTACAATATGAAATACATTTTGTAATCAATCGGAACTTCCCGGACCTCCCGGTCCTTTGACTTTGTCACATGACTTAATATGCTTCCTTGCCATCTCGTATCCGCGTGAAACCCCCATGCTACACTTTTTCCCGCACCATTTGCAAGTTGCGTACCACATCCCGATCCTCGGGTCCTTCTGCGTATCACAATTATACCGTATAACGGCATATTGACTTTCCATCTTAAAAATGGTTGATATAATAATTCTACAAATACTACAATAGATGGAGATGAAGATGGAGAATGAAGATTGGAGAAGATGTGTATAAAAAAGTTAGAAAATAGGAGTATTTATAGAAATTTTTGTACCCCCACCACCCACCCCACCCCCAACGGCTCTATTGATTCAAATTTCAAACAATCAAAGTGCCCAACAGCTATATAGCCGTTTGGGGCCTTTGATTTCAATTTTTTATTATTATTTTAGTTTGAATAAATTACATAATGTAAAATTAATTAATTAATTTTATGAATTCGGTAAAAAATGCTACATATAAAAAAAATGAATGTATATTTATTTGAAATATGAACTACAAGTTTACAAGTTACAATTGAAGGTAAAATTAAAACATGAAATACTAATCAATCGGAATCTCCGACATAGGTAGAGCCACCATCGGTTATTGATTCATCCATAAAGTGTTGGGATGAGGTGATGTCAATTTCTTGAGCTCTACGGGCCGCCTTCAACCAATCGTGGTAGCATATAAGCATCTCAAGAGATTCTGCTCTCAACCTCGTTCTAGTTTGCGTTAGGACATTGCCAGTCGAACTAAATTCTTGTTCTGCGGCAAATGTTGAAAACGACATTGATAGCACTTGCTTAGCCATCTTTGCTAAAATCGGAAACATTCTTTCTTTTCCCTTCCAACAGTTTAGAACGTCAAAATCACCATCTTCTTCAAAATCAACATCATATGTTAAATCCAAAGAAATCTCATTAATTGTGCTTTGTTGAGTAGCGGGAGTTGTTTTAGTTTTTTTAATAAGATTGGCAAATATAGATTTCAAAATTGATTTTCCTTTAGATGAAGATGTTTGTGTCGGGGGAGAGGGCGTGTTGCCATATTGTGCATGAAACTCATTAAATAATGCATAAAATATATCTCTAACCTCGTTGTATTCTTTTTCGGCTCAATTGAGTTCTCGTCATACATTGGAAGATGACCATAAAAAGCGGCATAATAATTGTTCAAACATTCTTCTAAAGTACCAAGTCTAAAACGAGGATCGAGCACAAATGCAATACCATAAATATGCGGAATATGTGCATAATATTTCAAAAATTTTTCCTTCATAAAATCAGCAAAATAACTCACATAATCGGCATTCTCAAATTCCGAAAAAGCACCGACGAGATTAACAGCTTCACGAATAAATTGGTTTGAAGTAGGTTTATAAACATGACTAAAAGTTTCAGTTGCATTATAAAAATATACCAAAGCATTACAAATTTTTTTCGCAAGTGTCGATCTCAGCCGAGTTTATAATATAGTTATCATTTTGTTTTTAAAAAGCAGGAAAATGTTGTTTATATCTAAGAAGAACTGTCATTAACTTTAAGTACTATTCCAACAATAGACAAATAGTTAGGAAAAGTCACATATTTCTCACCTCTTTCTATCAAATAACCATGCCATTTTTTTCTAAGTTGACCACTACCCCAAATACGTCTAATCCCCCCCTTCACTACCTCCAAAGAATCTCTTAACCCTTTTAGACCATCTTGCACACATAAATTTATAACATGACATGCACATAGTTGATGAAAAAATCTACTCATCAAAGAAGTAGAACCAAACAATTCACGCAATCTAGGAATAGCAAGTGTATTATTAGTAGCATTATTAAAACCAATAGCAAACACCTTATCTATTAAATTATACTCAATTAAAATACACTCAATCAAAATATAAATATGTTCAACGGTGTGACGATCATTAAATTCACGAAAAGCAAGAACACGTTTATGCATATTCCAATGTTGCCACATTGGTCAAAAGAATCAGAATACTCTTTGGGATAGTTGCCACATTGGTCTAATGTTGGTCAAATGTGACTTAGAACTCTACATTTGAAAAGTTACTTATGTTGATTGAGTTCCTCAATCCGTTTGAATGTGGTTTGACATGAGAATATTAACACCAATCTAAATAAGTTGTGATACTCTCTATGGTAATTTACATTGCTTTAATTGACTTTAGTCTAGTTTTCGTATTGTTTGAAATAATTATGTACTTTTGTAGTGTTAATTTACACTTAATTGCTTTTGGAGAAAACTATGTAAACCAACATAGCCAAATATGATTTTAGAATTAATTTGTCAATGTATGATTGCATATAAACTAACAGCCCAAAGTTTCTTTGCTCCACCTTAATATATGTATGACTATATTTTAAGAATAAAATAGAACCTGCTTCAATTACATTTTGAGCATAAATTGAGATTACGCTACATTTCATTGCATAAGTATAAGCAAATAATAATTTTGAATTTTAATTTATATTCTACACAACGGGGGTTTGCAGGCGTGGAGTGTGGCTTGCTCAGACTTGGCGTGGAGATCGGATTGAGGAATAGAGATTTATGGAGAATATTGATGATCAATACAACAAAATGGCAATTGGTGCAAAAGAAGAAGAACTGGGGAGCAATGGGAAGGTGACCGTTCCGGTGATTGCCATGATAGGTTCTCAGATGAATTTTCTTGAGGTTGAAATTCTCTTCTATCATACTACAACTGCTCGCCCTCCTCCGGAACCACCTCCCTGCGAGGAAGTAATTTGGGGAAAATTTATATTTTCGCAGTATTTACTTTTATTTCTGTTCGACCGGGTGTGGTCAGAGTATTTTGATTTTTGATTAACTCTTGATAGGCAATGTTTCATTTTCGGTCATTTTAGACTTCTTCTTGCCCGTTTTGTGTCTAACATGTCATGTTGCTTTGTATGGGTGGCTGACTCTAAGTCTATTCCTAGGGCTTACGATCGCATCTGTAATATCTGTCTGGATTTGGTGTTGCGTGTTTGCTCTATTTTAATGGAAAGCCGTTTTGATGATCAAAAAAATTTATATTCTACATTGCACGCACATAATTACAATTTTAATACGTAGTATATGTATACATATATCTTTGGCGTTGTCGATGACAAAGTTATAAGGGAGGTAGAGAGTAGGTGTGATATATCAAATCTGTTAAAGCATATGTCCTACACCGGAAAGCTATAAAACAATTAAACACTATATAAAACTTTGGGCTACTCCTCCTATCAGGTTGACCTTTTAGGATGGAACCCCGGGTCTTAACATGGTATCAGAGCCAAACCGATCCATGGTGTGGGCCCCCTTATGAAATATGATTATGTGATTATAAAAAATGACAATGATGAATCGATGAAAAAATGAATGACGGCAGGATCCACACGAAGTGTCTGGTCGTGAGGAGGGGTGTTGAATTCCCACACCGGAAACGTGTGAAGGAATTAAGTGCTATGTTAAGATCAAGATTCCTTCTCCTATCAGGTTGACCCATCTCTGGTCATTTCTAGTCTACTCCCAAGCATGAAATTCATGTTATCCTCGCCGAATTTGGACACGACGCGGTTACTAACGACTATAAGTTAATGGTATTAATCGCCTCTAATGAGCCCTTTACTAGCACTATTCACCGCGAGGTCAAGATTTATAGTGTGAATAACAAATCGTGGAAAACAAATTGATGATCTCCACAAACACTATGCTTACGCTATTTACAAAGGTGTCCTTTTTGGTAATGTTTTACACTAATTGGTGAGTGACAGGCGCAATGATCCCTTCTTAGTTTTGGGCTTTTGATCTTGGTACTGAAACTTTCTTGGAGATTCAGCTTCCCGAAAGTCTTTGTAATTATGTGAGTTGTGTGCATCTTATGAACCTAGAGGGTTCATTTTGTGTTGTACTTTTTAATGCTAAAATTTTATTTGTTGAGGTGTGGGAGATGAAGAAATATGGCGTCACAGAGTCTTGGGCTTTGTTGTCTCCTCAAGAATGGTGATCATGTTTTGATTCATAGCAGTGAAAGCCTCTACGTCTATGATATCAAATCAAAGGTTTGGATCAAAAGAGAGACATGTCCCAATTTTCCCATAATTTGTGCCGCCCTTGTTTGTGTAAAACGCCTGGTGGACACTTCATTTTAGTGAAAGTACTTCAAATGGGGAGAAGCACACTGCCACACAGCGAGATGATTTCCTATCCAAGGGATTCAAATTGGGTTTATAAAGTGATGTTGAAAAGTTAGCAGAAGCAAGACAATAAAAGCTCCTAATTTGGTTACAAGAATCACATTTTCTGGGATATTCATACATGGTATCAGAGTCAATTCCGGTTGTGGTTTGATGACTTGTTTAGCACTCATGATTAAGGCTAGCTTTTTAAGGGTTTTGTTTGTCGTGTTTATATACTCCGATATTGTTCAGGCCAGTTCGAGCTGAGAGGGCATGTAAAAGCATTTGTCCGACACCGAAAAGCTATAAACCAATTAAACACTATATAAGTTTTTGAGCTACTCCTCCTATCAGGTTGACCTTTTAGGATGGAACCCCGGGTCTTAACAAAATCACCTCGCCCATAAGTCATTCTATAGGTTTTTATTATCTTTTATTTGGATCAATTTGGAAGGAATTGCATATAAAAAACAAGACAAACCATTCCACCGAAAATCTCACTCTCCACCTTAAGATCTGAAATCGTTTTTTTATGATCCAGGTGTCGGTGCATGCGCTACCCTTATCCTGGAGTCTATTGACTACCCTCGAAAGCCCCTAGATAGTCAAATCCGGATATGATCACAGTCAGTCTTCGTCGGTACTGGTTTCACAGGACGAATCCAGCAGGACTTCCTGTCAACTGAATCCAGAGGGGTCCTCATACCATGCACGGCTTCCTGTCAACTGAATTGAGAAGGTTCCTCAAACCACGTGCACTCGCGACCTGAATTTTCCATCCGCTCCCTTCTAAGGCGCTATGCAACTCCATAAAGGTAGGAGGAATCATGGGTAGCAAGACCTCCCCCATCTCTCCTATTTGTGCCTAGCGGGTTTCGAATCTGAGACCTCCACTAGACACGGTAACCTCCCATCCAGCGAGCTGGAATGCTTGGTTGATCTGAAATCAATAAACTTGATGCGGATGTTGTACGCCTCCCCAGAGTTCTCCACTTTGACAGAACCTATCTTCTTTGCCGCATCCACATATTCCTTTTTTTATGGAGGAATTCAAGGTGG